ACGACCCCCCCCCTTCCCGCCGCAGGCTGGATCAAAAACCCAGCATCGCCGACAAAGATTCACCACCGCCCACACAGTCTTTCCGCCGTAGCGGGATGACAAACACCGGAATCTATCTTATACTATAAAGCGTGAACCCGAGGGCGCAGCCTATGTTTTAATTCCGAACTAGCGTAAGCAACTCACCAATCGGAAAATTAGATTTCTATCCGTGGGCGGTCTCCCGGCGGCGGCGGAGCCGTCGCTGCGTTATCACTCCTCTTATCACTTTTTGCCGTTTTTTTCGAAAATCAAAGAAATTTCGAAAAAAAACGAGTTTTACCCCCCCGGGGGGCCTCGGGGGGCCCCGTTCGGACCTTATTCGCGTTCCTCGGTAAATTTATAGTCGGCGCGCGGCCTTACTTTTTTCCCGGCGGGCCCGCGGCGGCGGATGTCGCGTGCGATACGAGGCCGCCGTCGCGCGCGTTTTTTGCATTTTTTTTCGAAAATTCGAGTTTTAGGCGTTTTAGAACGTATCGACCTCCCCGTTTGGATCTTATTCGCGTTCCCCGCTAAATTTAACGTCGAAACGTGGCCCTACTTTTTCAAAGACGAGTGCCCCGGCGGACGTATCGATCGCCGAGGGCGCCGCGTCGTCGCCGTTTCGACGGTTTTCTCGACTTTTTCGACTAGAGTCGCGTTTAGCAACTCTACGAGACGTCCGACCTCCCCGCCGGCGACGTATTCGAGTTCCCCGCTAAATTTATAGCCGGCGAGGGTACCTACTTTTTTAAAAACGAGTCCCGGGGAGGAGCGCCGTCGCTTAAACGAGAGTAGGTACCGATGGGGTATCGAGTGGGTACCGCTATATACGGGCATAAATACGTGCGTCTCGAGGTTCGATTTTTTTCGCAAAGCTCGGGTATTATACGTCCGAGGGCGGCGGAGCCGGTCGTCCGCTCGCCGACGCTGTCGGATCGCCCGCTCAAACGCCCTTTGACGGCCGTCCAAACGGCGTTCGCCTTTCGCGAGCACGGTGACGCGGCTTAAGAGTCATAGAATTGACTAGGATTTTCATCTGAGTAGGTGGCTAGGTTGGTTAGGCGTTAGGATAGGTGACTCGAGGGTCGTGGGTTCGAACCCGGCCTCAGGGATTTTCGATAATTTGCGTCATCCGTGATAATTTGAATGTTTTTTTTCGAGTTTTTTTTTTCGCTATCACTTCCGTCTTATCATTTTTTTGTTCCGATTTTTTTCAAAATTCGAGTTTTAACGCCTCTACTGACTTCGGACCATCGAAGACTTATTCGCGTTCCCCGTCAAAGCAGCCCTTGATACTATACACGGGAGTGAATATATGCGTCGAAGAGTTCGATTTCCTTTTTTTTGGCGGCTTTTTTCGAAAATTCGAGTTTTAGCCCCTTTTGGTCTTAACGGATCTTATTCGCGTTCCACACTCGCGGAAACGAGAGTAGGTACGCTATTTACAGGCATATATGCGTCGCGTCGTTTATTGCCGTTTATAGCCCTTTTCGACACTTCTGCCCTCCCCGTTGACGACTTATTCGCGTTCCCCTCTAATTGATTTCAACGATTTTTCCGACTACGGTCGCCTCTAACTCCTTTCCGAGACGTCGAAGACGTATTCGTGTTCCCCGCTACGTCGGCACGTTCGATTTTTTTTTGCGAATATCGCGTTTTCGACGTCCGTGGGCTGTGGGCGGCGAAACGGCTTAAGAGTCGTTGATTTACGGTCACCATGCTTGCGTTAGGTGGGTACCGGATACCTTGACACATAATGACGTGTACACTTATTTACGTTTAAATACGTACGTAAGTATAAAAACGTAAACACGTAGGTAAATATGGGTACGGTAGGTCAGGCGGTCGTTTTTTCTTATTATTGTTGTGGGCGAATAATATTATTACGATTTAGGAGCGACACTGTGATCTGCGATACTACAGTGCGACCGTTCTTATACGCGGAATTATACGGGCGGAGTGTGATGGAGTGGAGCAGCGGGGGAACAACTTTGGCGACGCGACACGCGCCCGTTTCGACCTGCCTGATCACGAGGTGATCAGCCCTCTTGCAACGCACATCGACTGTCACGGAAAAGCCTAATACTTTGTGTTATTAATTAATATTCAGTGCTTTCCCTTGACTTTTGTTATTCTGCATTGAGCGCTTTTCACACACCGGTAAGTAAACTTTTATATCTACTACTATACTATATACTATTCAGATAAACTACAGGTGCATTCATGGCGGCGCGTATCGCGAACGAACATAATGTTTTCACCACCTACAGACCACCTACAGACGTTTTCCGCTGTTTCGTGTTTTTTCCGTACACTTTGAATACCTATAACGTTTTTTATATCCGCATTCGTATTAGCTGTCGCCGAAGTCGACGTGTAAGTCCGTTGGCCGTTTCGGCGCGTTACCATTGCAGTACACGTGTTTTATCGCTATTTTTTGTGCTACTACGAGCTGGGTATGTCATTTTTCTATTTTTTATGTGCATCACGTTAGCCGGTGTGTACCTATTCATTCTAAAAATAACACAAGTCTCACCGCTGATAACAAACTGATACAGTCATTATATTCGATTGCAACGATTTTTTTACGAGTATTCAGCATTTACTTTTCATGATATTATATTCGTTTGTGATGTTTTTAGGCTATTCAAAATGGTCAAACGCTGCGTGCTATGCGGAGTTGTGGACAACAACGACGATGACGTTTCCGTACACAGGTATTTCACACAACACGTTAAATATCAATTTATATATATAAATTATGTGTCGCCACTTAGATTTCCAATCGCCGTACAACGTCGTCTTCAGTGGGTGGCATTTGTGGTGGACCAAGGTTTTCCCGTGAACCACACATCTCAGCTGTGTTCGAGGCATTTCGTCCCCGGTATCGACTACGCTGTGGGAAACGCGCTGCGCCGCCGTTTGAGGCCCGCAGCAGTGCCGTCTTTGGTGAGTATATTCATTGCAGTGCACCATGCCTGTATGCCCGTCTGGCTGGACTTCTAATACTAATACTGTTGTGTACTCTCATGGGTTTAATGTACCTACTGTGTCTTTCAAACTTGTGGCTAACGACAAGCAACCTAACTTAATTTGATAACTTAACTCAATGACATTCAACGTTTTTGTTGCAACATAATGCATATAAGCTCACACAAGTATACTAATAAACATGATAATCGTGTCTTTATCATTTCAAGTTTGATCAATTTTCATAACATTTACAATATGGAAATTACTTAATATAATGTTGGATAGTGTGGCCCACTGTAGTATGTAATTGTCAACATTCCTTACATGCTTAATTATTCACTATGCTCTTAGATACATATTATTGTTTCTGTACATAACTGCTACTGCTATATACCTACAATGTCAATGAATGTTATGTCAGTTACATACATACCAATATACATACTATAACTATACAATACATAATAACTAATATTGTTTTTTTACTATCACGTACACATTTAATTCTATTACCTTGATTTACACGTGCTCAAACCTAAACTAACTAAACAGTTAGGCATTTGTTCATTTGATTATTATTTTTGTTGAGGATCATGACGTATACCTAATACCTCAACAGAACACTTTTATTTTTACTTAACTATTTAATGTGTAACTGTTTATTACTACTTATGGACTATGATTATGTACCTATTCATTGATTATGGCTCGACATAGAGTCAGACTTTGAACGTTAAACTTCTATGTTCTGATTTTTAATGATTGCCTTAAACTAATATTTTGTTTTACTTTCACTTACAAACAAATGTTTGATATAAGTGTACATGTCTCTCTCTACAACACTTTTATTTCACTTATTAATTTTCCCTTTTGTCATTTGACTTAACTGTTTAATTGTATAACTGTTGATCACTGCTTCAGATTTTGTTTTACTTTCACTTACAAACAAATGTTTGATATAAGTGTACATGTCTCTCTACACAACACTTTTATTTCACTTATTAATTTTCCCTTTTGTCATTGACTTAACTGTTTAATTGTATAATGTTGATCACTGCTTCAGAACCATTCTTTGGCTATGACTAAACATATTTAACTGCGCTCCTATTGTTTAACTAATATCTGTTGACAATGCTTGCTTACAATATAGTTAATTAAACAATTGACATAAATATAAACTGTATTTTTGATTTAATTATTACTTTATTACTAAAGTTATTATATCCTTACTTTATATTAAATTATACTTTAAAGTTGTATACTTAAATAAGTTTTATTACAATTAGCAATAACCATAAATCAGAATATATATCACATAAATATCAACAATGTAAAACATAATAATATAAATAAAAAGATATAACGCTAAAACATTTTTACTCTGCCATTAATACAATTAATTAATTGATAAATAAATATGTGATTTAAAATTGAATTACACTAACCGCCTATTAATTTATAGGTAGTCGGACGGCAACTGGTGCCAGGCGTGGCTGAAGAGCCTGAAGGTGGAGACCCCGTGCAAGTTGCACCTAACCTTGTGGACGAAAACGCCATGATGGACGACCACATTGAAGTTGTGATGGAAGACGGCGTTATGCACGGAGACAATGTGGAAGAACATGAAGACGTGGAGAACATGGAAGTCGTGATGGAAGACGAAGACAATGTGGACTACATCATTGAAGTTGTTATGGACGAAGACAATGTGGAAATTGTCGACGTGGACAACATGGAAGTCCAGATGGACGACGAAGTTTTGCCGGCAGACGTCGAGATAGTCGATGTCCTGCCCGGTGAACTCGAGTTCATGGACATTTTCGAAGACTTCAACCCTGAAGTTGCTGTTGAACTACCAAGAGTTCATGCGCCACGAGTAGACAGGCCAGCCAGCGTTCGACACCCACTTTCAACTGTGAACGCACTTTGAGGGGTCATTTCACATTGTGTTGCAACAACAATCAGATGGTGATTCCTGAAGGACCCCGTCGGTTGCAACAAGCACCTGAATTGCTACAGAGTTTGTTGGTAGACGACTCACGGATAGCAACCCAGTTCCGTAGAAACATAAGACGGTACAACAACACTCTTGCGTTTGCCGCCTTCTCCACTGACCTCAATCAGAGAAGATTGCCTGGTCGCGGACCGAGAGTGTTCACTGTACACGGGCAGGTGTATCGAAGGATCACCAACGACGTCGTCAGAAACGACGACAGACCCCCAAGTTACTGTGAGCTCTATTTCATTGAATCTGGGGAAGCAAACCGGGTTCGCATGAACCAGAACCACCAGGGTGAGCTGAACGAGACTGTGCTTACAGACTTGGACACGATGCTGAGGCAAACCAATCCATTTGCCATGGCGTTCAGCAACATGAGAGCAGTGTGGCTGGAGGAACAGAGAATTGCCAACGCCGATCCTCTGGTGGAACCCAGGAGAGTCACCATGCACTTGGTGGCTGACCCAAACAGTGACCCAAGGCGGTACAATCTACCGCCAAATCAAGTCAACGAAGTTTCGGTCGTGTTTGCTGGAAACAATGGCCAACCGCCGAGAAACCTCGACCTGGTGGTGTTCGACTCGAATCCAGTGAACCCACAACACAGGATGCAAAACTTATCATACGGCTCCCAGCACGCAGATCCAATGCTATACCCCCTGTTGTTCCCACACGGTGAACTGGGTTGGCATTTCGAACTGCGACAAGATGATGGTGGCCGGCAAAATGCTGTGCGCACACGCAACACTATCAGAGAATTTGGTTGTGTTACCGTCTGGCCATTGTTACGAAAGGAACTACCGACCACAGGCATCAAAAATTCAGTCTGGTACACCGTGCTGGTTATCTGTTTCAACAGTACGTCTGTGAACAATACGTACGAATGGAAACAAACAACATACGGTTCATTGAACGCAATCAGGGAGCCCTGTTTGCCGAAAGCGTATAAGGGCCTGGTGGATCACATCAACCAGCAGTTGCACATCGAAGAACCTTGCCCCTGTTTGGAAGCAGAATGATTTTGCCGTCGACCTTCACTGGAGGTCCGCGTTACATGAAGCAGAGCTACCAGGATGCAATGACCATAGTGCGCAAGTACGGCAAACCCGACCTGTTCATTACCTTCACTTGCAATCCTGGGTGGCCTGAGATCGCCAGCAACAAAGGAAATCATGCAGTTGCAGGTGACAGACCCGAACTGGAGGCAAGAGTGTTTCACGCCAAACTCAAGCAGCTCATGTCAGACATAACTGAAAATAGAGTGTTTGGTAACGTAGACGCATATGTTTACACTGTTGAGTTTCAAAAACGCGGTCTGCCACACGCACACATACTCATCATCCTTAGCGATGGCAACAAGCTGCTCACAGCCGAGGATGTAGACGATGTCGTGTGCGCTGAACTGCCAGACCCAGCAGACGAGAACAATCAGAGACTGTTCACAGCTGTGACGAGTCACATGATACACGGACCATGTGGGCAACTGAACCGCGACAGTCCGTGTATGGCTGAAGGGATATGTCTAAAGAAATATCCAAAGGCATATAGTGCAGAGACAGTTTACGTTTCTGACGGCGGGTACCCAACGTACCGTCGACGAGACAACGGGATCGAGGCCCTCGTGAGGGGACACCAGGTCAGCAACGAGTTTGTAGTTGCCTACAACCCGTACCTGCTGGCCAAGTACGATGCACACATCAACGTAGAGGTGTGTTCTACTGTGAAGAGCGTAAAGTATTTATACAAATACGTCTTCAAAGGCCACGACATGGCTACAGTAGAAGTCCAAGACAGAAATGAAATTGAAAAGTAAGCATCTGTTAATTTATTTCTTCATATACTATAACTGTTTTAACTCATAAGTAATTCGACTAAATAAAATAAAAAAGTTATTTTAAAAATGTAGCATACTTGGACAACGAAACAAAAGTTCTTTATTAACTTTGATGTATAACTCCTTAAATATTGCTACTATGATTTAAAAAAAAAAACACTTATACTCAACTTATATTTTTAAATATTTATTTGTTTGTTGTTTTTATATGCAAATTAACAATATACTATAAAATAATGGTTACTTTTCGGTTACTATGTTTTGATATTAATGTTACCAAATTAATTCATACAGTAGTACACTGACCTTAAAAAAATATTTTATTTAATTTTTAAATTTTATTATTTTTATAAGTTGACATTGTAAATTTTTTACATAATATAATTATCTATATGGATGTAATATAAATAACTATATTTAATTGACATTCACAGCTATTGAGCAACGCACCTAAGTTAGACATAGGCTCGATTATGTGGTTAAATAGTAAATATATAACATACTATGTAGTATTTACTTGATTATGACAGTTTTTAGGTGAGTCGTTTATATAAATTTAGTGTAGCATACAAATACTGCTACAGATTCTAAATAAGACAATATTAATAAACAAAATAGAACTTTACGTACCTATTTAATGAAAGTCTGAAAATTAAATTGTATAATGATATGTGACTATATACTATTTGATATAACTTATATAGGTAGAGTATTATATGGAATAAACTATTTATTAAATAATAAATTATGGGAAACACTTGATTTTATTATCTCCAAATATATTGTTTAACACGGGCTGGATTATATGGGATAGTCCTATAATATATACTTGAATAGACAATAGTAATATAACAAACCTACAATTATACTCTATGTAGTACTAAATATATACAGTTTTAGGTGAGTTGATTGTTTGAGGTAATGTAATTTGGTAATTATAAATTTATGTATGATACAAAACTGCTGCAGATACTATCTACTACAATGATTTATTATAAACTAATAGATCTCATGTATTAATCTAAATTCTGTCAGTAAATTTTATAATGATATGGCTATACTATTGCTATACTTATGTAAACTAGGTTTATGGAGGATATTACAATATAAATTATGATCGATATGACTACTATAGGTAGGTTTATTCATGGCATAAAATCAAGTTAATTAATAGACAATGATAAATAAATATATATAATTGACATCCACAGCTATTTATCAATACATCTGAGTTAACAAGGGCTCGATTATGTGGTTAGATAGTAAGTTATATAACATACTATGTAGTAGGTACTGATATATTACAGTTTATATAAATTTAGGTAGCATACAAATACTTGCTACAGATTCTAAATAATAAATATTAATAATACAAATGAACTTTATGTACCTATTTAATTAAAGTCTGAAAATTAAATTGTATAATGATATGACTATATACTATTTAATAAAACTTATATAGATAGAGTATTATATAAAATAAACTAACTAATAGAACTAATCAAATTCTGGCAGTTAAATTGTATAATATAAATTTTATTTTTGTTATTTATTAAAATGTATTATTATTATTATTATCACTACTCATAACATTATTGTGTATTAATCGAACGAATTTTGTTTGTTTCAGTTACATCAATGCTCGGTACGTCAGTCCGGCAGAAGCAGTTTGGCGACTGTTTTCGTACGAGTTGCATAAGCCGAGTCACAGGGTGATCAGGCTTCCAGTCCATCTGGAAGACTACCACACGGTGTACTTCGCTCCGGGACAGAACTGGAGCGTGTGCAAACGCAGCGCTGGCCGAACAAGACTCACGGCGTTCTTCTCGCTCAACGAGGACGGACCCCGAGGGCCAGACAGTATCTATACCATGAGATACCGATGCATTACACCTGGGTGGAAAGAGACAGGAGGTGGAATCGGCGCCAAAGGGTAATGGCCAACGAGACGTTGTCTCGGATGTACGCGGTCAACCCCCTAGATCGAGAGCGATTCCTCTTGCGACTGCTGCTGCTGCACAGGAGAGGTCCTCAGTCGTTCAGAGACATGAGGACCGTCGACGGGGTCGTGTATCCGACCTACGCGGCGGCGGCGGTGGCGCTTGGACTCCTGGAGGATGACCAAGCCCTGCTGGCGTGCATGACAGAGTCCGCGGCCGTGGACACTCCCGCACAGCTGCGTTACCTACTGGTGACGATCCTGCTGTACTGCGAGGCCGCGGATCCGCTGGCGTACTATACATGGCAAGCGAGGAAGACTGAGGCAAGACCTTCTTCCACAGACTGAGAGACGAGGACCGCGCGAGAGCCGCGTGCCTGGACGCCATCGGGCGGCTGCTGCGGGGTCACGGTAAAACGCTGGCCGACTACGGGTTGCCGAATCCGGACGTCGCGCTGCTCGAAGAGGACGCGGGAGGAGACGTCTACGCCTTCGTCGACGCAGTGGTGCGTTGGACTCTGCAGTTGGACAACCTCAACGACGAACAGCGGACGGTTTTACGACGCGTGATGGCGGCCGTCGACGACAACCGCGACGTCCCGAAAATGTTCTACGTCGACGGGCCCGGTGGTACTGGGAAAACGACGCTTTACGGCTGCCTAATATGGTCGCTCCGCAACATGGGCAGATCCGTGTTGTCTGTGGCGTTCACGGGAATAGCGGCGACGCTCATGGACGGTGGTATGACCGTTCACTCGACGTTCGGTTTGCCCTTCGGTACACTCAACGAAGATTCGACGTCGTCCATCGCCATGCAGTCTCTGCGCGCGCATAGGATACGGGAGGCGGCACTCATCGTCTGGGACGAAGCGCCCATGTCTCCGGGGCTCCAACTGACGGTGGTCGACCGGTTGCTAAAGGACATAATGCAATCGGAACTACCGTTCGGTGGTAAGACGGTTCTATTCGCAGGTGACTTCAGACAGATACTGCCGGTGGTCCGCAGGGGGACGAGGGCCGCGATCGTGGCGGCTTCAATCAGGCACCACCATCTGTGGGACGTCTTCGAGCGTTTCAGCCTGACGCAGAACATGCGGGCCAACAACGACGCGGACTTTGCCGCCTGGTTGCTTCAACTCGGCAACGGCCAGCTGCCCG